ATACCTAGACTGTTTGAAAAATCCCACTAAACTATCAGAGGGCATATGTATAGATAGTACTTTATTTGTAAGTGTGTGTGTTTCATCTGAAAAGTCAACTTATATCATCTACAGAGTTAATTGTAGCTTCTCCAACGTATTAGATTTAAAAATACCCATAATTCTAATACTGAAGTGGGTTGAAGGGAGTGGACCTGCCTAAATGACCCTTAACATTCCATCAAGCAGATGTTTTAGATTAAATGTGTCATTGGACCATGCCAAAGATGGTGTCACTCAGATAGTTGCTGCGTAGGACATAAAGAACAGTTAAGCCAGGGATGGGCAAACTTTTTGACCCGAGCGTCACATCGGGGTTGTGCAACTGTATGGAGGGCCGGGTAGGGAAGGCTGTGCCTCCCCAAACCGCCTGCCCTCCCATCCGCCCCCTCCCACTTCCCGCCTCCTGACTGCCCCCCTCAGAACCCGCAACCCATCTAACCCCCCTGCTCCTTGCCCCCTGACTACCCCCTCCTGGGACCCCTGTCCCCTATCCACACCCCCACCCCCAGACAGCCCCCCTGGGACTCCCACCCCCTATCCAAGTGCCCTCTGCTCCTCGTCCCCTGACCACCCCCTCCCAGGACCCCCCACCCCAACTGCACCCCGGGATCCCACCCCCTTATCCAACCCCCCCGCTCCCTGTCCCTGACTGCCCTCCCGACCCCTATCCACATCCCCGCCCCCTGACAGGCCCCCCAGGGCCCCCACTCCCAACCCTCCCTGTTCCCCATCCCCTGACCTCCCCCCCAGAACCTCTGCCCCATCCAACTGCCCCCTCCCTCCTGACTGCTCCCCAGGATCCCCCGCTCCCTTACACAACCCCCCCGCTTCCCGCCCCCTTACCAGCAGCAGGAGCTCGTAGCCGCGACACCTGGCCAGAGCCAGCTGCGCTCCCCACACTGCCCAGTGGGAGCGGCGGGCCAGAGCGCAGCCTGCACGGCGGCATGGCTGCGGGGGAGGGGTGATAGCAGGGGAGAGGCTGGGGACTAGGTTCCCCGGCCGGGAGCTCAGGGGCCGGGCAGGACGGTCCCGCGGGCTGGATGTGGCCCGCGGGCCATAGTTTGCCCATGTCTGAGTTAAGCACTATTAAATATGACTGCTTTATTCAGAGAGCTGACCTGAAGTAGTAATTTGCTTCATTTCTCAGAAAGAGGATATTAACCTGGAAAAGGATATCAGATAGTTAAAGTCTACCTTTCCAGGGTGGATATTAGTCAATGAACCAGCACCCAAATTCTTAGGACAGCAGAACAGACATTGCAGGAGTCATAAAGCAACATAGAGATTTTAAAAATAATTTGTTTTATTGTCTTGCATGGCTAAAATTAGCCCTGCAAAAATGAAGAATCTTTTTAAAAGGGTTCAGTTTAGAGTTTAGATTTAAATTAATTGGACCAAATCCATTCCTGGTACAACTGAATTGAATTCATCTCCATTGAATTTGGCAGTTGGTATGCTTTAATTTAGAAAATATTATCTGAGTTTTTGCAAATAAGAATAAACTTTATTTTAAATAAATTTTCCTTAAAATCAGTAACCCCCACAATGGGAAAAAATTGTTAGGACTACCTGAGCTAGTTAGTAATCCTGATGAGGAACCATTTTACCCGACTTCTCAACTATAATCTGTACTTTGGCTAACATTCATTAAGTATCTCCTTCAGAAGGGTTGTTTCTCCATGCATCTTAGCTCCCATATGTCTTCTGTTTTGCATTTTATTTTGAAATGTGTAATAAATAAAATGAAAATTTTTTTAAACCAAAGCATTGATGGTGCCATTATAACTCATTTGCCTTTCAATATAACCATCTTATTCACTATGGAACAGCCCAGGATCTGTAATTTGCATGAAAATAATCCCCTTTGTCTTTTCCTCATCACATACAACCCAAAGTATTTATCTCCCTTCCAAAAAATTTCCATGAGTTGTGTTGCTCATGAATGTATTTAATTGATCAAAATAGCCCTGGCATAATGCCACCCTTACTATTATGTATAATAAAAGCCCCAAAGCCTCATTAACTGACCCTGCTTCACCAAAGAAACACAAATGACATGGCAAAGTAAAAGAATTTCCCAGCAATACAGGAGAGGACAAGAAAGCAAATGAAGAATGGGGCTTTTCATTAACTTTGTTTTAAACAGTTATAACAGTATCCAATAGTCACACTGTAAAAATGCTAGCAGCAGTTAATGAGTTGCATGAAACCATAATGAAATGCCCAAATAGTACAGATTCACCATGCCTTTCTCACTAGGTCTGGGCACAGAAAGGAAATAAAACACAAGTAAAGCCTTGGGGCCCAGTCCTATATTCACTGGGCTCTTGAGATTTCAGCTGAAGTCAATGGAAGTTATAGAAGGTTAAGATGGTTGTTTAGCTCTAACTGGATCCCACAAAACCCCAGACTGTGAATAAAATAGATTATACTCTGCCAGAATCAGTGCAAAATTCTGCACTCACACACACTGAGTATTTTGCTTCCAAGGTGTCAAATGAGGACACATCCTATGTATTTGGATATACTGTGCCAAATCTGGCTATTGCATGGCAGTGAGTTCTAAATATGGGCAAAGATCTGTTTGATTTCAAGTGATGTGATGGAAAATCTGAGTATAATGGATTATTTTTAAAAAATCCTCTTTTAATGTTTGTATACTCTTAACTACAGGCTGGATCCTTAACTGTATTGTGTACCCACTCAATACAGTGGTTGGGAAAATGACTATAAACCACCTTTACTCCTCTTTTGATCTTGGAGGTAGATAGAGGCCAAACCACACTCCAGGTACATATTAAAGCCATGGTGGATCGATTCAAAATCAGTGATTTAAATCTTTGATTTCAAATCGTGATTTAAACCAACAAGCAGGAAACCTTGAACTAAATAATCAAATTTAATTGTGTTTTGCGTTTATACTTTGTAGTTATTTTCCTAAAAAAAGGTTAATTCTCATTGGTTCATTGGTAACCATTAATACATGTTGACTGGCAACTAAATATAGCCTTTATGCTAAATTTGGTGCTTCTTTTTGCTAAGCAGGAAGATACACTATATCTATATACATTTATTTAAGCAATTATAGAGCTTAACGTAGATTTATTCAGATTCTTAATTTTTCTCTCTTCTGTTATGTTAGGAAATGGTGGATAATGCATTTCATATTTACTAGATGGCGATTAACTTACTTGCAATTTGTGTCAAGCTCTATTTTAATGAAAATTCAAATTCAATTACAGTGCATAAAAACAGCATTTAATTTTTTATTAAACAAAACTACTTTAACTGTGCTGAATACATACGAGAAAAAGTTTATGAAATCATGTTTTGCATTTAAAACTAACTGATATATTAAACAAAGGAAGTAGTATCTGTAGTTAGTGAATTGAACTGTTTCTGGTCATCTTGTCAAGATTTTAAAACTGGTAGATCTCTTCCATTCACATCTAGTTTTTATTCAAAGATTGGAAAAGGAAAACAAGCTTTCCTGTGTTTTCAATTCAATTCCCAGGAAGTTTCTTAACTCTGAATGAACTAGTCACTGAACTGAACTAGTTGAATAAATTGAAATGAAGAAAATATGCTCTCTGCACCTACAGAAGAAGTGTCAGCTGTCAAAAACTGGTTTAGTATTTGAGTAAACTCTGATTCCAGGTGCTTAGCCAACAACTTCCACCAGTTCAGTGGCCCTCGAACTATCTGCCTTACAATATCCAAATTTGGCATTGTACCCTGCAGACATGCTATGTGCCACTCCAAGCAGAATACTGAAGAGATCTGCTACACAACTAGACCTATATTTTCCCATTCAAACACTTCCAGAATAAAAGAACGCCTATTAAAGGAGGCACATCTACAAGGTTGATGTCTATCGTTGACTTCACAGAGAAAGGAGGAAATGTTTCAATGACACAGAGGGTACAACTAAAGGAGTCAAATCCTGAAGTCCTTATTTCTTACTCATTTATTTCTCAAGTAGAATTCCCATGATCCCATGGGAGTTTTGCCTGAGTAAAGAGTGATTAAGAAATAAATAAGGGCTTCAAGATGTGTCCCAGTATTAATGCTAATATTAACAGGAAGCGTCTGTTGGTGAGTTGTGTTTGGGTGTTTTTGTGTAACAATAGGGGGCCTGGTCCTCAGCTGGTGTCAAGTGGGATTGCACACTGACTTTTAATAATGCCACCTCGCTCTTATAAAACCCAGCACTTTTCATCAGTAGATCTTAAAGTGCTTTACAAAGAAGCTCAGTATAATTCTACCTATTTTACAGATGGGGAAACTAAGGCACAGGGAGGTGAAGTGATTTGCCCAAAGCCTCCCAGCAGGCCAGTGTCAGAGACAGGAAAAGAACCCAGCTCACCTGAGTCCCTTCCCGGTGGTCTATCCACTAGAACACGCTGTCTACCAGGTGAGGATTTGACCCGTGGTATCTGTTGGCTTCATGCATCTCAGACACAAAGAAAAAAATCTATTTTCAGTAAATAACTAGAATGTATGATTTAACCTCACTGTAGTGCTGGAAAATGTTTCCTTTGAGTTCTTAAATGCTTTTCTGCTAATTTAATATTACTTTCTATGAACCAAAATGCACACCAAAGACATACTGTGCAATCCGTCCATTGCATATCAGAAAGCAGCATGTATTACTTAACATTCCCTTATGAATGCTACACATGCAACTATTTCCATTCAACAGCAACTCCCTCTGCTTCCCTGCAGACAGTGACCTAAAGTGATTCATTCATATGGCTAGAATTTATTTTTGGTGGGATGCAGGATTTATAAAGACAGAAATCTGGAAATGTTTTCCAATTTCCTCTTGCTGAATACGAAAGCTTAGCCCACGAAAGCTTATGCCCAAATAAATGTGTTAGTCTCTAAGGTGCCACTAGTACTCCTTGTTGTTTTTGTTTTTGCTAGACACTGTTATTCCATTTTTCTACTGTGTCATTAGAAGGAGGTGGTAGCTAAGGGAAGCAGCTGGGAACACAGGGAAGTCACTCTGAACTCTACACTTCAGTCTTCCTTCAGCTGTGGAGGTTACATCCACTACAGAGCTATTTTCTTCCAACAGAAGCAAATTGGTATGTGGATTTTTCTGTTTGTTTATTTTAAGTGTCTTGAGCGAATGAGTTTTCCAGCAATATGATTCCTGAAGACAAACAAGCAACATGAGATAACACCCGCTTACTAAAAGGGTTTCTTTGAAGAAAGGGCTTGATTCTCATTTACACTAAGGTTAGCTTTGCACTACTCTGGCAGCATCAAGAAATCTGAAAGTGGGAATGAGTTACATTTTTAATAGCTTTCTACTAAAGTGCATTTACACCCACTTTAAGTTCCAGAGTGCCAGAGTGGTGCAACGTAACCTTAATGTAAACAAGAATCAGGATCAGTCTCTCTGTCTCTGTCTGTCTCTCTCTGGGTGCTTTGTGTTTTGACTTTAATGAGATAGATTGTTTAGGGATTGCACAAATTTGCTACATCTCTAAACCAATTCCAGTCTCACTGGAAATAAGCATATGGGGTCTGACCCAAAGCTCCCTGAAGTGAACAGAATCTTTCCACTGACAATATGAGCCTGATCCAAAGCTTTATTGAAGACGTAATTCTAGAAAAGAAATCAAGAATCCTCATGAGCTCAGGTAATCGATTAATAAGATCATTCCATAAATCAGAATTGAGAAGTAATTCGTAATGAGCAAAGTCTTGTCCTGCTCTGGTGAAGTGACCAAGAAAGTGCGTGTATCGGGGTAGCGGACAGTGGAGGACAAAGTAGACTTGTGCCTGTTAGTGTCATTATACAGTAGTACAGGATAGGATTCAGTTCTATATTTGCAATAACCACGGAATTGTCAGGTGTAGCTTTTCTAAGTGAAATCTAATAAAAACAAAAATTTCACAAAATCAATTATATTTAACTTAAATTCCTTCCAGAATCCTATTAACTGAATCTCTGAACTAACCATGTAAACAAAAGAAACACGAAGCTTTATAAACTCTGTACAGGAGAATTTATTGTTTAAATAAAAAGAAGTTATATTGTTGAATAATTTTTGAAAATTATTACAATAGTTTACATCTTTTAGGGGAGAAGAGAGAGAGATCATCAGGCTAAAGGAAGAAAATGGACATACCAAATTTGGAAAACTGTAGAACATTGTCTAAACTCCATAGGTCAAATCCTGCAGGCTGGACTCAGCCCTTAGGTTTCAGTGAGGTTGTTCATGCTTAAATTTATGCACATGCTTACATACCTTGCTAAATAAAGGCTTGAGAATTCACAGAAATGTAGGACTAGAATGCACCTTGAGAGGTCATCTAGTACTCTAGTCCATCTCCCCTGCACTGAGGTAGGATTAAGTATACCTGGACCATTGTAAATATTTAATCATTTGCTCAGGATTTAAACTACTTTGATTAGCTATCTTCATTATTGTTTCACCTGCTTTGGAATAGGAAGTGCAAGCCTCTGATAACCTGCTCTAAATCTATCTACACAACTGTAAAACTCCACCTAATTCCCCTTCCTCCACGTAAGCCAGGGAAGGGCAGACAGGGCACAGCTCCTGTCAAAGTTACTGTCAGCATGTGAGAGAGAACAGGGAGTGAGGGAGCTGCCTGCAGGAGATTTGAAGCCTGGAGCAGGCTTACTAAATGAGCCAACCGGAGACACCTGGTGCAGGGAAGAAACCTCTAGGACTGTGGTCCCCAAACTGTGGGGCATGCCCCCCTACAGGGTGCTGAGAAGCATTTGGGGGGGAAGCGGCAGTGCCCAGGCCAGCCCCACTCTGCCCCCATCTCTGCTCCAGTCCCGCCCCCAGCTCTGCACCCAGGCACTACCCTGGCTGCTGGCCCCCACCACAGCCCAGCCATGGATCTTCTTCCAATCCCACCTCTAGCCTTGGCCCCCAGCCAGGGCTCCGCTCCCAGGCGCGTTCCCGGCCCAGCCCCAGCCCCACCCCCAGCCTTGGGACCCTTACCCAGTCCGTCCCGGCTCTGAGATGGGGCACTGGATGGGGTATGGGGGGCGCAACCCTCAAAGTTTGGAGACCACTGCTCTAGGAGTTGAAGGAATTCTGCAGGGAAAGGGATTGACTGGGAGAAGGTCCAAGGGAGTCAGCTTGAGCAGGGCAGCTAGTGCCGGATACAGATTGGGACAGATTTCTGGGAATTCTATGAGTGATTGGAGAAATTTTTTTTTTGTTGGGTTGATTTTTTGGAGCTTTGTGAATAAAGAAAACCAGACCTCCAAGAAGGCCTGTGATTGAAAGGAGAAAGACTGTGTGGGGTTTGTTTAAGGAGCCCTGAAGAAGAAGAAAACAGAGGTGGGGCACTGCAGAGGCTCCCCTGGACATGAAGGGGCACTCAGGTGGTGGCCACCCCAATACACCTGGCACCTGAGCAGGGACTCTTAGCGTCCCGTTCTTCGGGGACATTGGAGGAAGTCTTGTGATTAATGATACAGCAGCAACAGGCAGAGAAGGAGCAAAATCATCTGCTCCAGGAAGCCTTACTAGCCACCCAGCAGCGCACGCAGGAGGCCTAACTGGCTGAACAGGAATAGAATTGGCAGTTCCAGGCCAAGGTGGCCAGGCTGCTTGTGCTAGGTTTGCTGGGTGCTCCTACAAGGGTGTTCCCTGCTGAGGCTCTCCCAGGACCCACCCTAACCAAGCTAACTCTACTGACCCGGGAGCTTTCCTGACAGCTGAGCAGGTGACAGCCACCACTGGCTGGGAGAGGAGGCCCCCCCCCCACTCACCCTTTAGCTACATGGGGAGGCTAGGGTTGCCAACTTTCTAATTGCACAAAACCGAACACCCTAGGCCCTCCCCGGCCCTTCCTAGAGGTCCTGCCCCCCGCTCACTACATTTCCCCCTCCCTGGGTGGCTCGCTTAATGCTCTCCACCACCCTCACTCACTTTCACTGGGCTGGGGAAGGGGGTTGAGGTGCAGGTGGGGGTGAGGGCTCTAGGGTGGGGCCAGAAATGAAGGGTTCAGGGTGTGGGAGGAGGCTGCAGGTTGAGGCAGGGGGTTGGGGTGGAGGGGGGGTGAGGGCTCTGTCTGGGGGTGCGGGCTCTGGGGTGGGGCCGGGGATGAGGGGCTTGGGGTTCAGGAGAGGGCTCCAAGCTGGTGGTTGGGGCGCGGGCTTACCTACGGCCAGGACTGTCCCTAGGGGGGTGCCGGGCCCAGGACATAGGAGCCGAGTTTCTAATCTGCTGGGGGGCTGCTCCCCCCTCTGGCTCCGCCCAGGCCCCACCCCCACTCTACCCCTTCCCCCAAGGCCCCACCCCGACCATGCTTCTTCCTGCTCCCAACCTGCCTCTTCCCACCCCTTCCCCACCCAGTTCTGCACCCTCCCCCGAGCACACTGCACCCTCACTCCTCTGCCCTCTCCCCCAGCGCCTCCTGACGTCGCAAAACATCTGATTCGCGGTTGGCGCTGAGAGGGAGAGGAAGGTGCTGATCGGCGGGGCCCGCCGGTGAGCAGGAGGCGCTGAGGGAGGGGGAGGTTCTGGTAGGGGGAGCTCCTCCTCGCCCCGCCCGCCTGCCACTCGCCTCCCCATTCACCTCCTCACCCCGCTCGCCCACCCGCCTCACCTCCCCGTCCCCTCCCCAAAGCGCGGGGCCCAGGGCAGTTGCCCCAATTCACTGTACCCAAGGGACGGCTCTGCCTCTGGTGGCTCTCTGTCAGCAGTGCAGCTGGGGGGCTAAGGGAGGCTTCCTGCCTGTCCTGACTCCACGCTGCGTCCCGGAAACAGCCAGGAGGTCTGGCTCCTAGGCAGAGGCATGGCAGCCGGCTCTGCATGCTGCTCTCACCCTCAGGCACCGCTCCTGCAGCTCCTATTGGCTGCGGTTCCCGGCCAATGGGAGTGCAGAGCCAGTGCTTAGGGTGGGGGCATCGCGCGGAGTCCCGTAGCCTCCCCCACTCCCGTCTAGGAGCAAGACCTGCTGGCCGCTTCTGGGGCGCAGTGTGGAGGCAGGACAGGTAGGGACTAGTCTGCCTTAGCTCTGAAGCACCGCTGACTGGACTTTTAATGGCCCGGTCGGCAGTGCTGACCGGAGTCGCCAGTGTCCCTTTTCGACTGGGTGTTCCGGTCGAAAACCGGATACCTGATCACCCTAGGGGAGGCCTAAGCTACTTCCAAGGCCCTGAGTACAGATGAAGCCCGATCTTACTTTACTCTGAAGGCGGCCATATTGAATTAGCTTGGACTCATTCCAGAAATCTATTATAGGAAGTTTCATGAGGAACCATTTCTAAAAGGGGGCTGTTGCCCAATGGCTCTGCAACTTGGCCACTCGCTGGCTGACCCCTGAATCTAAGACCATGGTTGACCTGATGGATAGTATTGTTTTTGAACAACATTTAAAAATTCTCCCCATAGCAGTACAAGCCTAGGTTTGTCAGTTCTGCCCATTAACCATCCCAGAGGCTGTAGAAACAACAGAGAGGTTTCTAGAGGTGGAAGCTTCAGGAATTAGAATAATTCCTCCTAACTCTCCCCCCAGCCCGCAGTAACTCAAGGGTTGTTGGCACTGCTCCAGGTTTCGGCACCCCAGGAATGAGGAGGTGCCCTTGGTATTGGGCCCCCTCAAGGGAGAGAGTCTCTACCTTCCTGGAGATCTCCAGTCAGAGGCACTTTGAGACCCCAGGATCCAAACGGGCTTTTGTTGACCATTCAAGAGGGGCCGATCATATGTTATTGCTTTAGGCATTTGGGACGTAGGCAGTGAGAGTGTCCCATGATGGAGTGTGACTATCTAGGGTGTCACTTCGGCAGGTAGGGTAAGACCTCAAACCTGCCAGCGAGGGATGCCATAAGACCCTTCCTGGTTCCCATCCAGATAGAACCACACTGGGACCTGGGAGCAGTATTGTCCTAGAAGTTCCACAATCAGGAACATCCTATCCTGTAGGAGTAGGAAACTCCTGGACCGTGAAAAGTGGTATTGGTCATCCAGAAGGAATGCTGGGCAGTGAAGCCCGGCACTACTACCGGTATCTGCATTGGACTCCCTTTTTCCTTGTCACTGACCAAGTGGTGCTCTGGTGGCTCCAGATGATGAGAGATTCAAATGCCTGGGTTACCCATTGGTACCCTGCCCTTTTGTTTTCCTGGACAGCATTGTCCCGGCAAGAACCACCAGACTGCAGACCTTCTGTCCAGGACAGACAAAGATGGCGAGCCGTGCAGTGAGTGCTCTGTCAGGCCACTCAGAGTGGTGAGGGGTATGTGAGAGCAAAGGGAGTGAGGGAGCTTGCCTGACTTGAAGAACTAGAGCAGGCTTGCTAAACCAGAGACACCTGGTGCAGCAAAGGAGCCTCAGGCAGCTGGTTCCTTACAAGAACTGAAGCAGTTGGGGTGGGAGGGGCACTGCAGATTCTTGGGGACTCTGGGAGTGATTAGAGAAATGTGTTTTTGGTTTGGATTTTTTTTTTTTTGAGCTTTGTAAATAAAGAAAATCAGACCCCCAGAAGGGCTGTGATTGAAGGAGAAAAACAAACCCCACATAGTCTCAGGAGCCCTGAAGAATCAGGTGCAGGGCACTGCAGAGGCACCCTGGACTCACGGGGATGCTTGGTGGTGGCCACACTATTACACAGTGCTTAAAGTAGGGGAAGGGAAGTGCTTGCAATGGGTCAAAGACCCTGCTGAAGGGTGTACTTTAAGCATTGTCTTACTAAAGCTGCTGCTCTGAGGTTGAGAGATTCCCTGTCCGTCACCCCACACACACCTTTTTCAGACCACTTTAAGCACCGGTTACTGTAGCTTTGCGGCTTCTATAACCAGTATGGAGTGGGCTCTAGTGTCACTCTTTGGCCTGAGAGATAGGATTCCTTCCTTCCTCCTCTTCAAGCTTGGCACAGCAGCAGAGAGGATTTGGTCCTGAGAGGCTGAATTCTGTAACTGGATCCATATAGGTGGGCTACTGAGGTTAGTCAGGTTCTTGCCATGTATTTCCTCCCAGTTCTAGAACTGGTGGGGGCTTTTAATCACTAATGATAATCTTCGTGACTAAGATGCTGACTAGTATAGCACTGTTGCTTCTGATCTGACAAGCTAATGAATAATTTCTGGGATGCTATTAACGACTATTTTAGGAAGCTCATATTTCAGCTAGCTAGCTTGATTCAAATAGGTGAAGTTATAATTGTCCTTGCTAATAATAAAATCTTGTGTCTTTATGTATTCCCTTCTGACTATGCCAACAAATTTTCCACCTGGATTTCTAGATCTATTATTACTCTTGTTTTCATCTAAAGAATGGGGATGTTCTATACCTCCAGACAATGCTGACCTACTGTTTACAGAGTGGTATTTTGTGTACTGCTCTTGGTAGAGGCCTATTTATTCATTACACAATACGGAATCTGTGCCAACAGCTTAGCCGTGTGTTTCTCGTTCTAATGAACAGATACCTGGCTGACTTTCACTCACTGGCTCCAAGAGCATTTTGTTTTAAATCCAGTCACTCAGAAGCTAACAAATTCACAACAGTGCAGGGCTGCCCCTGTGCTCTGTACTAAAGGGAGAAGAGGGTGGAAGGCAAGGCCTTCTCCTCCAGCACCCTGCAACACAGCAAATGCGATATGAAAGAACCACACTGGCGCAGTGTTTACTGACTACATAACAGGCCTAACTCCATATATACACTACTGCTACGGTTGCCACATCTGAGGTACAAAAACCAGGACATGCGGGATGATTCTGAGTCCATAAAACTGGACAGCTGGCAGTGCATTGAACATCCTTACAGATATTCCAGGACAGCTACCTCATAAAAAGGGGCAGTTATTGGAAAACCTGGACAGCTGACAACCCTATGCTCTGACACAGCTTTGGTAGCTTCTGCAACAGAAGACAGTGAGGGTCAATACAGGGCTCAATCTACTTTAAAGAGTTATTACTCCATTCCTATCACTATATACCCTCAGCCCTGACCCCAGCACGCCCCCTTTGGGGGCAGGAAGCATAAGATCCCACATCAGCCCTAGGATGCCCCTGTAACTGGGAGAATTCTCCCCTGTCTAGTTACAGCTCCAATCCAGCCCCTTATCACCACCAGACTGGCATATGGAGGCTTTACTTTACTGCACTAAGATCCTTCAAACAAAATGACCAGCTCTAACTCAGATGTAACTTTTCTCCAGCGATGGGGCTCAAAAGGATACCTATGACACCAGTTGTTGCAGCTTAGGCTTGCAAAGTTGACTCAGTTGCAGGTAAATCCAGAGAGGTCAGGGATTGTAGCTCTCTGCCATCCCCCTCAGCAGCAATGGGTCCAAAAGGGTTGCAACTCCCTCGTAGCTCATTCCCCACAGAGTCGCCATCTTTCCTTCTTTGTCTGCCTTTGGCTTCTCTCTGAAACTGCTTCCCCCCCCCCCCCTCTTCTGCAGCACTCATCTGCCAACCCAGTCAGCTCCTGGCCAAACACGTTATTCCCAACCACCAATCTTTAGTCTCTCTGGCTGTTCCTCCTGCACTGGTAGATGTGGCTAGATCCTTGCCCTTCTGGTGCAAGACTCTCAGGCTTCACCCACAGGCTTCTGCAGAGGTGAAAGAGAAGCACACAAAATATTCTGCATCTCTTTTTCTACCTTGGATCCTACTCATCTGCTCGTGGTTCCTTGGCCAGAGGAGCATTTTGCCTTTCAATAGAACAGAAGGATAACATCATTAATTCTTATATTTTTGCCTGACTGAAGCCATTGAATGCTGCTGTAGTAGCAGGCAGAATGTTCATGGATTCATTATTGCAGGCCCTTTAATACTGAGGTCCTTGCTCAGGTTTTACATATAAACTCCCCCTGACAGTAGTGAGGTTTTGCCTGCATAAGGATGGAGTGGGTGGGTTGTCCCAGAGACTATAGTAGATGTTCCCCTTATTTATTTATTTATTTGGACTCCTATTCTGTTCCCTTGGGCAGGTTAACTCTGGCAAGTGAAGTTCAAGGCATCTGAAAAACACCCCTGGACAGCACACGCAGAGAGAGGGGGGAGTAGTGGTGTGTGAGTTGGAGCACTGGGTTATTGCCCACTTCTCAATTACGTCTCTCTTTCATGCGTAAGTACTTTATGATGAGAGGAAAAGAGCTTTCACTGTTTAATTTACAGATTCTGTGGCCTCCTACTAGGACCACAGGAAGATTAAGGGGGACACAGAGGAAGTAGATAGTTGGAGACCTCCTTTGACATTTTGCCCTGTCCGTCTTCGCTATCTCCTCACTTCTCTCTTGTCTTTTCCTCCCCTTCCTTCAAAATGTTCTTTCCTCACCATCCTCCCAACGCCCCCTCCTGTTTCTCTCCCCTGTACTTCCCAGTAAATAGATATTAAATAGTCACCAGTACTGAGGGCCACCAGCCTTCTTAACAGGGGTGTCATTTGCTACGGGACAAGGGGGGCAGTTACCCCTCCCGGCCTTGGTTTGTCCCCCCCCCCGACTTTTCATAGGTCTTTGTGCTCCGCCTTCCTCCCCCAACTTTTGCAAGATACAATATAATCACATAATATTTTATATGCTGACGCAGATTTGCCTCCCCCAGAATTTTTCAGAAAAGTTGCCCCTGCTTCTTGAATATACTTAAGACGTTTCACCCTGAGTTCAACCAGTGTGGTCTAGTAGGCGCTAGACTGGCATTCAGGGGGCACAGATTCTATCTGCATCTCTGCCACTGACCTGCTGTGTGACCTTGGGCATCACTTCTGTCTCCACTGCCATCCTTCATCAGTCTGGTCTGTTTAGACTATAAGCAGGGCAGGAACTGTTTCTCACTATGTGTATGTACAGAACTTTACACAATGAAGCCCTGATCTCAGCTGGTGCCTCTATGTACTCTTCTATAAACATTAATCTCCTAAAACAATTGTGATCATGGCACTGTACACCATCTGAAGTCTGCCAGATGAAAAAGCAGGGGGAGCAGTGGTGATTAGTAAACAGCAAGCAAACGCAGCTGTTTGCAGTGTAATACTTTATCCACCTGACTCTCCTTCCTTCTAAGGATCCCAGGTGAATGAACTCAGCCTCCTACAATCTCTGGGAGATGGTGAAGAATTATTAGCCCGCAGGGTGCCCAGCACCCTGAACTCCCATCTTTAGAATTGTTCAGTACCCTGCAGAGTTGAGCCCTAAGTGAGAAGGAAAGTGAAATACCCAAGGAAGCCTGTGGCAGAACCAGGAACAGGGCCTAGATTTTCTGGTGCCTAGTTCTCTGCTTTAACCACAAGTCCATCTTTTCTATTCAGTGGCTGGGAAAGCTGCCAGTACCATGCTAGGCTGGGGGGCTGAGTAAATGTCTAGCCCTCCTGGAACATGATGCTTGATAAAGAAAGTATGAAAGAAACCTCTGTTCTTGATGGATGTCCTGGGGCGTTGTACAATACATGGACCCTAGATATAAGCCCCTTCTGCTCCCCACCATAGCAAAAGGATCTGTATAATGTGAAAGCACCTGTTCATTGAACAGGTATAATCACAAGAAAAGACACTGTGCTCAAAGCAATGTAATGCTGATATAAGTACTAAACAAAATCCTATTTCATTGCTGGACACCAACCAATTGTAAAGCAAGAGGACTATATGCCTCCCACCCATCACTTAGAGAGTCATGGGAAAACATTTCCTGCACTGTTCATCACGCTTGATCAGAATATTGACATCACAGCAGTTAACTGATTTTGTTGCTCAGGTGCTAAGAAATTAAACAGCAGGTAGCTCCATCAGGAAGGAGTGTAGGTATTGTGGCTGTGATCCAAGGAAGGGATTGCTGGGGCTCTAGGATGAATGGAAGGCACGCCCAACCTGTTTGAAATAATCATTCATGTGCATGCCACTGTGCAGTAATCTAAGTAGGTTCATTAGCACTCCACAGCTGGGCTTTGTCAGATGGTGAGTGGATTAGTTGAATCTGTGGCACACCCTGGATCTGTGGCACACCCTGCACCTGGAGTGTGGGATTTACTGTTGAGATGGTATGGATGTGAATTCACATGCTGTGTGTCTCTATCATACGCTTACTGGCTCTGAGCTGGCAAACCATCCAGAAACTGCAGCTGCTTTTCAGGTGGGTCTAGTTTCCCCATAAAGGACAGTAAGAGTGGGAAGGGAAGGGCTTGCTATAATATAGCATAACCTCCTCTCAGGGCAGGAACATATAGTCTCTGAAGAGGAATGTCGTGACTCTCTCCTTCCATTGCAAATGAGGGGTTAGTGTTTATGTTTATAAAAGAGAGGAGGGTCTTGTGGTTTGGGTACTGGACTGGCATTCTGGGTTTAATTCCTGGTTCTATCATAGGGCTTCTTGTGTGACCTAGTCACTGAAATCTCTCTGTGCCCCAGTTCCCTTGGGGATAATGTACTTCCCTTGTGAGGTGCTCAACTCCTATAGATAGGGCATGTAAGTACTTAGTTCTGGTACGTAGCATGTACTGTAAGCACAATGCTACATTTCAAATTGCAATGGCCCTTTCCCCCTAAACTCTTATTTTTAGATACTGTTGTAAAGGTTCTCATGCTTTATTCACAATTAGGCTACACATTAATGGAGATTGTCTCATGGCCATCTCCCTTCCTGTTCATAATCATGCCGACCACTTCTATTATTCTTGATCCCGTAACATACCTGTAGCAATTACAGCAATTCCATACATACAAAAGTAGTGTTAGGAAGGTGTTTGTATATTTTTTTTTTAACATGTGGAAGCAAGGAGGAGCCAACACCATAGACCCAACCAGCTTCCACAAACCACCATCAATCATTCCATTGATTTGGAGAATTCCTGCTTTATTGTATTTTCTGGAAGTCTCAGTGCTTGGGGCCTGTGTAAAGATAAATAACTTCTGATAGTGTCAGAATTACGGCTGTGGTCATTTCTGAGTTCCCTGAGTATGGGAAAGATACATTGTTCCCCTGTGACAAGTGGTCAGATGACTTCTTGCATTCAGGTTAGGTCTGCACTAGAAGCTTTTGCTGGTATAGCAATGCCAGGTTTTTTTGGTGGGGAGAGGGGGAATATTTGTGGTATGTAGTTTGCTTGTTGAACTAGTATAAGCTAAATCATTAAAACTTTGCCAATAAGTTGTGTCTACACGGGGAGGATTGTCAGTTTAGCTACACTGGTATAACTATACTGGCAAACTTCTTAAAGCTTAGACTGACTTTTGATGCCTGGCAAAACAGGTTTGTGTTTTGAATATGGCAGATATGTAGGTAACAGTGCATGCCTGGCCTTGTTCAAAGAAAGCTGCTTTTGACATAACAGCATTTAGGAGATGTGGAAATAACACCCTGCACTTGAGCATGGGATGCTCCTTCACTCAGAAAGATGTAATGAAGAGACTGCTACAGGCATTCAGACCTGTGCTTGCCTGAATGATTGATTGCAATTTATCCATGTCTGTAAGGGACTCTATTTAGCCATTTTGTCCATTGCATAGCCCATTCTTGTTGTCCAACTACAGGCTATGCAATCACATTATTATCAGTCATCTAGCATAGGCTAGAACAGTAATCTTGATTACTATTCACATGACAAATGTAGTGGGCCTGATTCTGTTCTGCACATACGTGTGTTACACCTGTCACTCCATGACTTCTGTAGAGTTATTCTTGCTTTACACTGGAGCAAGTGAAATCAGAATGAGGCCCCACATCACTAGATGAAAATGCAAATTCCAAAAAGCTTTATAATGATAAGTCTGAGTCTGCTCCATCTCTCATATCTTCTTTTGACTCTGAGATGCTATATGTACCTCTCTGTATGTATGGCAACATTTTTGCCAAACTGAGATTTCTAGCAATTTACAGTGTCTGCAGTGACGACCTGGGGCTCACGATGCAAAAACCAAGGAAGCTGAATCACTGTCCCAACCGAGCTATTTAAAACCCAGGGATGCCTCTTCTAAGAAATATTTTTTTCTTAGTTAAGTGCCTGAAACCAAATGCAAAATGAGATTCATTCCTCTTTGTTTTGCTCTTGTTTATGGATAACATGCACAGCTGTCCATGCATGGGGGTTTGTAATCTCAGCAGTAATCCTGGTGGGGTTTACAATCTCCACAGGTGCCTTTGTGAACCTTTGTCAAAGTTCCCCTACCTTTAAGTAGCCTGGGGGAGCTAAATATCTCTGACGAACTGTACACAGCCCACCTGCTCTTTGGAGAACTTTGTGGGTGAACTTTGTGGGGAACTTGATATGTTCCCTTTTTTGGGGAGGAGAATTACTCCCTAAATAAGCACTTCAAATTCTCAGAGAGTCTGAAATAGTTTGCATTGACATCTCTTGAGTGAAACAGATTTCTAGGCCAAAATCTATCTGAGACCTGGCATGGCCAACAAGCATCAGACAACCTTTTGAAAATTTTAGTTGCTTTGAAGATCTGATTCACCTCTGTAGCGGAGGGCTCCTGAGTCCAAGAACTTCTGCAAATTCTCCGCTAACCACAGATCACACATGTGGAATTTGAAATCTCCAGGACCAGCGCTTAAATTCAGGTGGAGCTGTCTGGAGTGGAGCTCTGGTAAATATTTTCAAACTCTCAGGGCTGAAGCCCTGAGCCCTGGCGTGCCTCCCGTGGGGCTGAAGTCCTGAGCCTCAGGGCTCCAGGAAATACTCTGTGAGAATTTAAGCCCTGTCCAGGACCTTTTATGAGTATTTAGAAGAGGGTCTCTGTAATACAATTCTTGTCACAAAATTAACAGCAGAGAGACAGCCAGCACTGCTAGTTTCAACTTTCTTGTGACAGGATTTACCATTGTGACTCTACAATCAACTTTACTGGCCAAATCTTCCCCCAAGCAAATGCAGTGACCTTGGTTTACAAAACTGAATAAATGGACTTGCCACCCATATATTCATGTTCATTTTTAAGCAACACCGACTAAAAACACACCTTCACTTTACCACATCTATTGATTTTAAGTGATGAGAGCCAAATCTGGGAGATGGTTGCAGCCCAAATTCCTAGAATAAGATACCTGGATAATTCACTAGGGCCCAAAACATTGTTGGTCTTAGGAGAACTTTGATCCTTTAAGAAGACTTCACACAGTACAAAATGAACT